AAAATAAAATTTAAAATTGACAACTAAAAATATTAAAAGATGTAATGTTAGGATATAAACATAATAACTTAGTGAAAGATGTTCTTGGAAGAGCAATTTCATCATTAAAAAATGGATTAAACTACTTAATAATGTTTCAATATGATTATAAAATTAAAACTTTATTTTTCAAGAAATTAAAACTTTATTTTTCAAGAAATTAAAACTTTATTTTTCAAGAAATTTACATATTTCACGTATAATATTTTTATTATTAATCAATTTATTATTATTTATAACTTTTTTTTCTTAATTTAAATGTTTGTAATTGAAATTATAAAGTATTTAGTGTAAATGAACCACAATATTTTAATTAGATTTAAATATATATAATTTTATTTGTGTATAATAAAATTAACGAAAAATAATTATAAATAATGAAAATAAGGTTAACCTGCGGGTTAATCCGTAATCCGTAATCCGTTAGGGTTGAGTTAAGGTTGGAAGTTTTCAACCCGTAACTCATTTATAATCCAACCTGTAACTCATTTTTAACCTAACCTGTTTAACCCGTCACATAAGTTGACTTGACCCGAACTCGACCTAACCCACCCGTACGCCAGGTCTACCATTCATCCACAACGGAAAAGCCAGGTGCTTTATGCTTTTTTTTGTTTTTTGGTGAACCACTGGTGCTTTATTCAACTACTGGTCCCTTATCAAAAAAATAAAAAAAACTACTGGCATTAGTAAAGATGGAGCAACGGAGGTAGTTATGATCACGGACGTAGACGTGGGTATGATCACGCACTAAAGTAATAAGGGCTACGCACTAAAAATATTAGCGCCCTGAGTGATCCATTCAACAACTATGGAAAGTTGATGATGACCTGACCGCAACATCCGCCCTTTTTCTCGGCTTTCCTTCTTCCCAGCATTCCTGAACCCACTAATCTTATCTTATTGTATACATTTACGTGGTATTATAGAGATAATTATTTTATTTTATTTTTTTATATAATTTTTATATATTATTAAATAAATAAATAAATTTAATATCATAATATAAATTAAAAAATTAATTATTTTAATAATATATTAAATTATATAAAAAATAAAACCAAATAATTATTCCAATAACACTTCCTTATACATTTTTATATTTTTATATGGTAATGTCTTTGCCTGGGAGGGATAATGCTGTCATCCACCATGAAATTCGTGTAATTTGCTTCCTCCTTGCTAATTATGGCATCCCATTTTTTACAACAAAAAAAAAAAAGTGAAAGAAAAATAATGGCATCCATTTGTTATTTTATTTTATTTTATTTTTATCTTTTCAAGGTGGTCCTTCCTTGCTAGCTGGTCACTGCACAAGTGCGGGTCCTGGGAAAAAACCCATACAAAGCCCTTCATCTTGCAAAATTTTAAGTTTTCACCCCTCACTTTGTTACAAAGATTTTTCTAATCCCTTACTTTATTTTAAGACATAGTGATACATTAATTGTATTTTTGATAATAATTTTTTAAATAAAAATATAAAAAAATTCATACCTTAAGAATATTTAATTAATTTTTAAATAAAAAATAAAAATAAATATCCTTAAATTAATAAAAAAAATAAAAAATTTCCACTTTAATAAGAATCAACAAAGTTCATATATTTAAATAGAATTACAAAATTAACATTCCCTTTTCTCCAAAACCAAGCAAAGCAATTTGCCACTCTCTAACTCCATTAATTAGACCCGACAAAAATCCACTTGATCTGTCAATTCGATCTTAACCCGATCCTTAAAAAATGAATTAGGATTTATATATCTCAACTCGCAACCCGTAGATAACCCGTATTATCAACTCGTACGGGTCACGGGTTGGATTAGGGTCAACTCGCAGGTTGACGGGTTGACCCGTTTGTTTTATTTTTTATTATTATTTTTAAATATTATACTTATTATCCTTAATTAATTTTTCTATTGATAACTCATTTCATTAATTCATACTCCCTAATTTCTAATGAAAGAAGAAGAAATTATGATAGGTTTGATCTAATTACTCAAGTATTATTATTATTATTATTATTTTGTATTAACAATTACTCAAGTATCATGAATGAAATGATAATGTAACTAAAAATATTAAAAGATGT